CGATTTTTCCCGACCCGAGCGGGCGGTTGAACGCTCGCGGGGGAGGGTTAATGCCGATCGCGCGCACGCGGAATGGCGCGTTACGTCTCGAAACTATCGCGCCGGGGATCACAGTTCGCCGCAGCCGACCCTCCCCCGCCAGGTATCGTAATTTCGTCGATAGTACAACACAACGGTAACAACGACGCTGCCCGTCGCCGCAGCGCGCCGTTAACTTCCACCTCCTCCTCGTGCGACTCTCCCGCGGCAGCTGGTTTTTCACTCCCGCGCGCTCATCCCTTCCTCTCTCCAACCCCGCGTTGGTTTATGCGCCATCGCGGTCGCGGCTTTCGGCCTTGCCGATTCAACAGTCGAACAAACAGGACATACCGAAATGTCCGGCGACGTACACATATGTCGGCTGTATTTACTTAGCTGCGGCGTACATTGGCGTACATGCTATTTATGAATGATGAGCTAATGGATTTTGCATCTTGAATAATTAAAACACATATATGAATGATTATAGAATTACGACCGCAAATTAAATTTAAAAAATGTCACAATCGCATTTAATACTCTCTTCCGAAGATTAATAAATTAATACACGTCGCATTGTGTCCGTGTAATAAAATAATTTCCGTACGACAATACGTCAAATTATATCTTTGTAATTTGAAAAAGTAATTATTATTTTTTTTTTACGCTAGATTAACGTATTTTTATATGTAAAAAATTAATAGAAACATCTGTGAAAACACGGCGTCGCGCGCAAAACACAATTTATCACGTAATAGACGGCGTTCGCGCGCGGAGGGGATTCAGATCTGTTGTCGGGAGTTGCGCGCGATGAGAGACATTTTGTGCAACACACGCTCTACCGGTATCTGATCGCGTATCTCGTCGCGGCGGCGCGAAGTTATATAAAAGGCGAGTGAAAAATTGGCAGTGCGCGCGGTGCCAGGCGGCGGTTAAGATCCGGAGGCACGTTAAACACGGTATTACGCGTCCCTTTTGCACACGTGTCCTGTTCTCTTCGGGGCTACTACTGCGACTTCATATTTTCCGCGCCCCGTACACCGGCGTATGGAAATGGAGGTAGAAATGAACGCGACCGTGACAGTCGTTCCTCAGATCCCGCGACGTCGTTTGCATTTCTCATAAGCGCGACCGCGAGTCTTTCTTTTTTTTTTTCTTTTCTTTCTCGCGGCCGTACGTACGCATTTTTTATATTCGTTCTATACACGGCTCGGTGGTTCGTGAAAAAAAGCAGAAATACGGGGAGTAAATGGACAGAAGAGAAAGAGAGAGAGAGATAGAGAGAAAGAAAGAGCAAAAAAAAAACGGATATTTACCGAGTGCTCTAGGCATAAGCTTCTAAAAGCGCTAGGTATGCCATTATGCAGTAAAGCCATGAAATTAGAAAGCAAAAGCTACCGTATAAAAGCAGCCTCTTGTAAGAGGGTACATTAGGTAATGATACGCGCGGTCTTCGTGTTATTGTCATTACGTAAAGCAGAGCGAGCGAGCGGGCGAAAGAGAAAGAGAAAAATTCAATTTATTAGTACACCGATACATCATATCGCCGATCTGTTAAGAGCCCTCTGTGCGCGAGTAATTATCTCGATGTGTATTGAGCCAATGTGTCGTAAAAAAACGATTACATCTGTCATTACCGCATAAAAATGAGCATTAAACTGGCAATGGTCGCGACTACTTTTAACGCGAACGATAAATAATGTCAAGATCTACGTTTAATCAACGAGGAAAGATACACGGATGAATGTAGATTAATTGCGTTCTGAAACGAGTCTCCCAAGGACCGTAACAAAAATTACACAGGACCACTCCAGTGGTATGAAGTAAGGTGCCACGGGAGAGATAGTCGTGAAAGACTCGAGACAAACATTCAAGATAAATAACGGGGAAAGATTAAGACTGAGAGACATCGGGGAAACGGAGAAGATAGAAGACGACGCAACTCTTTAATATTTGCGTACCGTACCTTGCGAGAAAGGAACTCGGGGAAGGGGAGAAGGGAAGGAAGAGAAAAAGGAGGTTCAGTGCGCGATCTCTCCTTCTTTCGCGGAATGTTAGATGAAATTATTATTATTTCCATTATCATTAGGCATACCGAGTGCTGATGTCCCTCTCAACCCAATGTACATCTCCAAGATCCAAGAGCTTTCTCTCTCTCTCTCTCTCTCTCTCTCTTTCTCTCTTTCTCTCTATCTATCTATCTATCTATCTATCTCTCTCTCTGTGTCTCTCTCTCTCTCTCTTGCACACAGATATATACGCGCCGCCTATCAGCGTATTCGTGGAGGAAGATCGAGGTACGAGATGTCAGCGCGCATATAATTCTCCCGGGGCGCCATTAAATTGTATTAATCCACTTCCATCACGAAATTGAAGTTCATACACGATAAACGTACGTGCCTGCTGCGAAACGCCGTACGGGGGGACATGCACCCCCCGTGGTGTATTCATCCACACATCGTCTCTTCCTGCACCTCCGTCCGCGTTCTCTTATCGATCGGGCGACAAATTTTTTTTTTATCCGTTGATATCTCGCGCAAAGATCGACGGACGTAACCCTCGATGTATCATTTTGGCCTCATTACCTCGAAAGCAGAGAGAGAGAGAGGAGGGAGAGAGAACAACACGACGCGAACAAAGTCAAAGAATCAAGAAGGCTTTTAAAGTGCCATTCAAAATTGTTGATATAGCTCTTCACTCCGATATAGAGTAGTTTAATCACCGACATTTATCTTACGTGCCAACCGGGGATCGATTATGTCAGGGAGAAGGACGTCGAGAATCTCTCGTGGATGATAATCGCGCAAAAATGTTCTATGTGTAACCACCTTATAAATTTTTTAAATTCACACATCGCTTCTCTCTTTATATACACACGTGTTGTGTTTTCTCATCGATACTTGTATAATATTTATTTTGTTTTCGAATTCGGTCGAAACAGTATTATCGGAACGACGATTATATTCTCGGAGAAGACATCGCCGCCGTATCGATACTTAATCAGCGATAACGTCAAAACCCCCGTTGGATTAAGCATCGCCGGGATATGCAATCGCGTCGCGCCACCGGTGGTAATTGGATCGTACGGTACTGCCGGCGGGTCCGGAGTTACGTTCGTTCGAGCTTCATTCGTGTTTTCCGACAATGCCGTTGTTTATCCCATATCGCGAAATGAGTTTCGGAATGAGTGGCGTGGGAGCCGCGCGTGTATCGCGAGGGCGAAACGTGTACGAGAGCGGCGGTGCGGGGGCGGAAGAGTGAGCACGAGTTTCTCGGAAATGCATATCTCGTATGCCGCAATCGTTTCGCGAATTGAAGAGCGTTGGAAAAAAACGCTGGAGGCCGCGGTTGTCGGGCGCGGGGCGTCAGGGGACCGGAACAGAAAAGGGAAAAAAAAAAGCGACAACATACTTTTTTATCCGCCGCGTAGCCGCCGCAGTCATCTATTTTTTCACGCGTTTTACATCCGTAAACCGAACACGCTCTTCCGATTCGCCGAGAGCTGTTCGCGACGCGCGTTGTTCTCTCTCTCGTAAAGCTTTTGCGCCTTGCTCGCGCGAGCTCTTGCGTGTTTTTTACGCGAGCGCGTTAAAAGGAGGAAACGCGGCGACGTCGCGGTCTTGCGCCTAAAACTCGCTCGCAAAACACACGCTCTTCTCAAATTGCTTTTACGCGACTCTCTGTATTATTTTTAATTTTATTTAAAGAAAGAAATTTTAACAATTTTTTGCGCCAGTTTTTATCCTCGAAAAATGGGAGGATACGTGCGAAGTTTTACTTCCAATAGCCAGGTAATGATTTCAAATTCACACTTGAAATAAACATTGGGAATTTAAAAATAATTGGTAAAAAGCTTTTGAAATGCTTTTCTGCATAAAACAAGACCGTTTGTTCCAACCGCTTTCAGCTTTATATCGTAAAGAGAGCTTGCCATTATTTTTTAAATAAACACCATTCCGAGATCGGATCGCGATGATTGTACTTTTTGAGTTTCACAAAAGAGTATTTTATCGCTTCTTAAACCATTTCCAATACTTAAGCATTCAACGGTTACACTTCGCGAACTCGAATGCATAAGTCACTCGAGTTCTGCTTAAAAATTCAGAAACTCAGCACTTTAGTTATTACCAATAGAACGTCATTCTCGTCGCGGCAGAATAAATGTATGACTACTTTCAAACGGCTAGTGCGGCAAGAATCAGTAATATCCCTTCGAACGACGGGCCGGCCGCCCCTCTTCGAAAAGTACATCTCTCCTATTTCATAACTTTCCTAATTTCGAGAACAGTGAAGCAGGGAAAATAACGTAGGCTCCATGAGGGGAAAAAAAAAAAAAAAAAAAAGAAAAAACTGGCGCCGGCACTGGCGACGACGAAAAAAATGGGGTAAGAATATTAACGTGTGATATTCTTTGCTTAAGATTAAAAATTCCTAAAGTAACAACGTGTTTTTTTTTTTTTTAAAGTTGCGCGGAAAATATCTCTAAAATGTAAAGATAATGAGTCGAGCGTGCCTGAAGAGCCCGAGGTATCTCTTGAAAGAATTTTGTACGGAAATTCAAGAGACTGTCACGGTCTTTCGGGCGACCAAAATATAAGTGACGGCCCCTCGTTGTGAAACAATTTCCGATGGCTATCCTCAGATAGAGGCTCAACGCGTGCGGCGCGCGTTATCGTCAAGCGTGCGACCCGCTCATAATAGCGGGCCCGCAAATAGGCCATCGACGTCGCGCCGCGAACAAAAGCAAAACAGCGTCGCGCAACGGTCAGAGCAGCCCCGGCGGATGTCCGAAACGCCGCGCATTCCCGACGCGGATCGCCGGCGATTAATCGAATCGATCGAGCAGCTCGAACGTCGAGGCCTCTCTCGGACCGCGAAAACGTTTGACAAAGGTCCAATTCATGCGTCAACGCACGAAACTGAAGCCGCGTGGCGACTGGCTGCAAAAAACAAATGACACACAACATGCACAGTCCACTCACCCCCGATCCAGCCGAGGCAGAACAACAACACGCTGACCAGGCCGATCCCTCGGGTCCAATCCATGATGATCCAAGCCGATTTCTTGCCGCGCCGCAAAAGTGGAAGAGAGAGAAAGCTTGTTCAACTCCGAAGAATGAGAGAAAGGAAAAAGAGAGAGAATCAAGGAGAGAGTTAGTGACAACGTGACTCACACACGAAAACGATCGAAGAATCAGCCGCACTCTCTATTGTACTTCGGTTTTTTCTCTTCTCTTTCTTTGCACACAATCCACCCTCTTCAACACAGATTGCGCGTCTCTCAAGTGCGTGACTCACGTTCAAAATTCACTTCTCGATATTCGTTCGATATATGTCGCTGGCGACGATGTTCCGTTTCCGAAATATATATCCTCCGTTTTTTTGTTTGTTTGTCACTAAGTCTCACAAACTGTCACAAAAAAAAGTCGTTTCTCGGATCGGAGTCACTCGGGGCACGCGGCGATACTCACTGTTTAAAACCCTCTCAGACGAGTCACGGCCGAGACACTCACGGGGCACACACGTCCCGATCGTGCGGCGAGCACGCGTCGCGCGGAAATAGCGGGCGGCAGCGGCGGCAAAGGAGACATTCGGGAGAGTGAGCGAACGAGATAGAAAGAGGGAGAGAGCGTGTCCGTGCCCCACGGTGATCGCGTGTGCGGAGTAGTGCGGTGGCGGCGCGGCCTACGGGGCTTTTAGAACGCGGGGCGCCGTCTCCCACCCTCGCGCGCACAGCCGGCGGCGGCACCACGTAGTACTTCCTCTCTCGCTCGCACGAGCTCTTCTCTCACTCGGTTGTTGGCGGGAGAGTGCGCGCGCCCGAGAGTACCCGATGTCGGAGCAACGCGCGGCCGAGATAGGGGCAACCCCGACACGAACAAGCCCGAACGGAAGAGGCTAGGAGAGAGAGACAGAGAGAGACAGAGAGAGAGAGAGACAGAGAGGGACACAGAGAGTGAGAGACAGAGAGAGACAGAGAGAGACACAGAGAGTGAGAGTGGCAGAGAGATGGTACGAGTGGGAGAGCGCCTGTGCGGGAGACGCAACTCCACGCACCACCGTAAGGCAGACTTTGAGTACACGATGCGGATATGTAGGAATGCTTTCATGATGATATCGGATTATCGGGATAAAACCTTGCTTTCGATTCCTCGATAGTCTCAGCGCGAAAGCGTGTGACTTACTTCCGATTATTAGTGAGACATCGATAAGCGAAGGGGTGGGAGTTGTTGTCCGGAAGAAAGAGCGTGTGAAAGAAAAAGAGAAATGGAGCAAATAAAAGAAAAAACACTGTATATAAACTCCGAATAATTTTTATGCGATATACAAGTTCGAGAGACTCCTCGAAAGGGCCACGAACCGCGTATCAATTATCGGTATCGAATTTCTTACTTTATTTGAAGTATTGTTTTTCTCCTCTTTTGATTGACACAATCAATGCACTTTCCAAGATAAGGTATAACCTTCGGATGGGGTATAGACGCGATATCGAATGACTGACTGAAAGAGTATCGGTATTCTATTAAGTCTAAGCGCTCGGATGCCGAGTGAGTAAAAGCATCCGCACTTAAAGTTAAGCATTCCACCAAATCGTGAGAAAAGAGGGAGAGGAAAGGAGGATGGGATATCGACCCGACTCGCACTCGCTCGAGCGATAGCAGACTTGTATCGTTGCCGACGACTTCGATGGCATGTGGATGGCGGGCCTTCTCCTTCTCCTCCTCCCCCCTAAAAAGTTATACCCTCGCACTTCCTCCCATGCCTCTTAAACTCCGGTTAAACTCTTTCCATGGTGACGTAATGCGGTCTACATTCGAGCGAATTCGATATAAGTGCGCCGAGTTATACGGAACGTTTTTCTTTCCAAACTTTAAGTTATGCGGTTTGAAGTCAAATACTCGCACGCGAGAAGAGGAAAACAGATATATAGAGAGAAAAGGGAAGAAGAGGAGATAGATAGATAGATAGAGAGAGAGAGAGAGAGAGGAAGAGGAATATTATATATAGACAGAGAAAGAGAGATACACGCCGAGAATCTTGTCTGCGAGAGCATTGAGATTGCCTCTGCGCGTTTCAGAGTGCATTATACAAGGGATGTGGCATCAAAGACGACGCGTTATATAGACAGGTTGGGAATATCGCGTCTCGCGTAACACGCGCGCGATTGCAGCGTGAATCTTCTTCTGTGTGTGTTTTTTTTTTCTTTTTTTTTTTCTACAAGCGCGGAAAGTAAAAAGGGATCAGACCTTTGAGAAATAAGAGCTGAAAATGTTTCAGTTATACCCCCTCCTCATGTTAAATGATTCCGTGTTCAAGCGACGCTTATATCGAATTCCATCTAGCATGTACGGCGTCAGGTTGCACCTGAAGGCGTAGTAAACCGAATGGGAGTAGCGAGAACGTAATCGTGGAGGAACACCGGACCCGGTGTGTGCGCGTGGTTGGGCGAGCGTGTGCACGCGCGAGGGCACCGCCGTGTAGTAAAATACGAGGGGTACGTAATGAGAATTTCTAATATCAAAAATCAAAGGCGCGCGCGCGACCGGACGCGGGCCGTAGAAAAATCCTTTTGCCCGATCAATACCGGGCGCTTTTCGTTTCCGCGGCTCGCAAAACGGATACGACGGAAAAACAGATATACATGCGAAGTATGGAAAGCAATGTTGTGTTTGCCGGCGTCAGATACAACTGGGAACCATCCCCGTGACGGATTTATAGTTTGCGGACACCCCGACATTTTTCCAAAGCTGTATCATCGATCTGTCCGAATATTGATTCGATCTCCAAGCAAATATTCTTAAATATATTGAAACTATCCCCTCCCAGATGACACTCGCTGAAATTAAATGTGATCCGTCGTCGTAAAAAATATCCGCTGCGACAATTAGTTAAATAATAATACCAACAACAATAATCGTGGCTCGAGTTTTTTTTATTACGTATATACAACGGCTATTCTAATATCTGGAAAATTAATTTCGCGAAAATCAGATTGAGTTCGTGTTTCTCTATATTTTTCTTCTCCCGGGAGAGAAAAGCGCGAGTTAATTTCAAACAATCCTTACATCTCGACGTTATGAACGCATGGAGAGAAAGAGAAACGAAAAAAAAAAAAAAGACAATTACTCACTGGCACACTTTTCTCCCCGGCCTTACACACATTCTCTCTCTCTCTCTCTCTCTCTTCTTTTCTTTTTTTTCGCCTGTATTTCGGAAGCATGAAGCCCTTGAGCTTTAGGCATCACGCGTATCCGTAAATCCGCCGTTGGCGGGACCCTCCGAAGTAATCAGAATCGTACTATTCGCGCGCGCGCGCGCGCTATCCTTCCTCCGTCGTCCCAGATACCCGGTCGTCCGACCTGTCCTGACTTCTCCCTTTCGTCCCCGCCTTCTTGTCCCGCGTCCGACACATCCAGGTTTCCTACGCTTTGGATACATCCGGGCGTGCCATCGCGGCTCGACACGCAATGTGTGTCCCGTGTGCCGTAGCCGATCCGTCGAGCTTCCGTTTACACGCCAGCTCGTGTTCGTAGGTGAAATGAAACTGCAACGTTGGTTCGAGAGAGAGAGAGAGAGAGAAAACAAGGTGGGATCTAACCGAAGCGGGCGACCCGGATCGGTGTATGCCAAGCGCGTGAGTGCCGGAGACCTGAGTCGTTTGTTTCCCCCTCGACCGCCGCAACCACCTCTCGCTTATGGGGGCACACGGATCAGATTAAGGGCAGCGTTCGCGCGCGCGAGAGACTAACGACGGGACTAGCGATACGACAGGTGATAGACGCTCGCCGTTGGCCCGATACCATTGTCGCGGTCTATCTATCGCGCCGCGTGACTAGCCGCGTCGCTAGTCAACGTCGACAGCGAGGGAATCATGGCCAAGTCTCTCTCGGCCCTTTACACACCGATGGGGGCGAACCGTAATCCGCGCGGGACGTGTCGAGGTGTCGACGTGGCGTGGCCGTAATGAAATTACTCGATACTCTCCGCCACTACCGCACCACTGCCACCGCATCAGACAAACGGACGCGGCATTAACCATCACGCTTAGTTACCGGTTGCCGTTGGTAATAGACGCGAACGTGGGCCCTCTCCAGATCCTAATTCCGACGTTTCAATGGCGAACGGTGTGCGTGAGGTAACTGTCCGTCTCCGCTTATCTGCTTGCTGCAACATCTCTCAACGTTGATAACGAATAAAACTGTAATTTAGCGATGTACATCCACGCCACGGACGAAACGTAACGTTAAATTAAAAGTCCCCCGGCAAATTGCTACTTATTGCTGGCGGTGAGCGAGTAGTAGATAAGGTCAGCGACTGGTCGGACTGTAATTCCGGTGAAGGTCGGCGTGACATATCGGGATGTCGATATCGCGCAATGTTAACGAAGTTATTTGATACTCCGGGCATGAGACGCAAACATTATAGAGGGAGCATCAACAATCACTGCCACGGTGGTGCACAGTAGTGTACAAGGGCGCAGCCTTGCGGAACGTAATTTCGAGACGTTGATGATGTCGCGAACACAATGAAATTACCTAGTAGTTAGCCAAGCCAAATTGACGTAGTACATAGCTACTTGCTATTGACCAATAGTGGATAAGAGCCACGTCAGATAAGACTACATCCCCTGCAGACTGTCACGCCGCTAATGGCACTTAGGGGTTTCAATATACCGAGAGAACGATCAGAAACAGAGAGAGAGAGAGAGAGAGAGAAAGAGAGAGAGAGAGAGAGAGAGAGAAAGCGTACATTTATTAAGAGAGAGAGAGAGAGAGAGACGCGATCGCGCGGAAGACAAAAAAACTTCTAGTCTCGGTTTTTTCCGATTGCCGGATATAAAAGCCGCGAAATAAAAACAAATAAAGTACCGACAAATTTTCCGAGTTAATTGCCCGTCGCAACCGATATAGCGCACGAGCGACTCTTTCAGAGAGCGCGTAATTTTCAGTGATTTGCGCGACACCCATCAGGTAACTCGATTGCGGGACCCGCGCGCCGGTTTGTGTGTTTCGCGGGGGAAGCGGAAACTGGCCGGCGGTTGAGTCAGAGACAAACAGATGAAGCGCTAAAAATCCCGGCCACCGGGCTTCGTCGTGCGCGAATATGGAAATTTCAGGGTTTCGACTCGGGGTTGGACTCACCGGGCAGCTAACGAGCGTACCGTGCACGCTTCCAGCACGGCAGCGTCAGAACACTGGTGTACACGTACATACTGGTGTAGACGTACACACACACACTCATATATATCTACAATATATATATACACGTGTATACGCTGCGCCCGTGGCAGGAGCGACGGCGGAAGGGTTAATCCTATCTACCGTAATAGTAGCGGGTCAACGACATCTTTGCGAGGAGCAAACTTAGCTGGCCCAACAAGCCATACATCAAATTGCTGCTCTCGACGAGCTGGCTTTCACAGAAACGACGACGACGAGAAGGACGAGGACAAGGAACGAGGTAAAAACGTGGGACGGAAGTAGACGCCGCGTTGAAGAACAAAGCGACGGAAAATGTCGCGCGCGCGCGCCCGCGAAGGGGAACGCT